AATATATGGTTATAAAAATCACAAAAAAAAATGAAAAGAGAAAGCACTGAAGGCTAACGCCATATTGGTAGGATTTTGTTGTTCATTTTGTTCTCAGTATTGGCAGGGACAGAGAAATATGAAAAACATAGAAAGAAAATGTGTAGCAAATGAGTAACTTTTATGCACAAAAACAGTGTTTAAGAAATTAGGGTGAGAAAAAGATGAGAACAAAGTGAGATCGAATGTATGAGCACGCGTAGAAACAACAATTGAGAAATCTGATTTCAGTACTTCCCGTCCTCTCATCACAAGTGTGTACCAAATACATAAACTGCTACTTGGCATTTCCTAAATAAATATAATAGGAAAAGTACTTATTTTACTTTAATGATTCATTTCGGCCCCTATGACATAAATTAGCTGTGATGATGTATAATCTCTTTCAGGAAATATAATTCTCTAATAGAGATATTTATGGACCGAAATACGAGAAGTTGTGGTCTCGGCCAGGTCTACTTTAAAAGGGATTCTGATTCACCCATGCCTGCTTCTACTTACATTTGATCATAGCTGTTGACATGCCATATCTGCCATGCATAGATGTATTTCTCTTCTAGAGGTAAGAAAGCCATATGGTTCGTGGACGCCTATGAATTTTTGCAAGGCAAACTGAACTTTTTTTTTTTCCTGTAGTTATTCAAACAAAACCACCTATTTAACAAGTACAATATTTTAGATTCAGATGGGATACTTTGGTCGATATATTATATTTCTAAGAACTGAAATCATCTCTTAAACACCATCATAACTGATGAGCTAACATTAACTTTCTGCGTTAGTGATACTCAGTCCTCTGTTTTACCATGCATGGTTAAATAAACTAATTCATTGCCGTGAGGGATTGGAGCAGCTAATAAGAATTGTCTTGTTCATGCAGTAGAACTGGAGCAGCTGTTTTTGTTTGACTGATGTAGTTTGAAAGGGCCCCCTGATGGTACACCTTAGAAAAAACAAAGGTTTATTTCAATGTTCTTTCTATTACCAAAACTACTCATAGGATTATCATAGCTATACAGGGAAATTGCTTTCACTACGTGTAATTGCAAAAGGGGGTGGGGGTGGGAGGGAATGTTCCTGGCTATTAAAGACAGATGTAAAATAACATTTTGCCACCTTTGCTAAGCACCACAGAAATGATCCCATAAATTATTCCAATTTCCATAATTTCATCAGATAAAGCTCTCAATCAAGCTGAAATTTAGTCATTATGGCAGCATTTATGAATACTTTCCATTAGAACATCCAGTGTCAAAATAAAATGTTGCGACTGTGAAGTGGCAGCTTGACCAGTCAACATTCAGGGAAACCTATAGAGGTTACCGTATGGGAAGGATATCACATGATGTTAAGACATAGTGAAAATTAAATACCCAAGCACTACTCAGGATCAGGTAGAACAACTGTTCAAGTATTACACCTGCTAATTAATATTAACTTAATTCATACCCTGGACCTTACTGGAATACAATTATTAGTTAATCATAATGGACTGTGAGGTGCCCAACACTGTTTAGAAGTCGATTTAGTAACAGCTTGCCATAGCCAAC